ACTCATATTTTGGCTGGAAGGGTGAAGCTGAATAAATATTCACATAATTTTCATTACTGGGTGAACTATTCCTTTAAATGAAACAACACTGAAATCACTATTTAGTCTCCAGGGCTATGAAAGAGCAATAAAACAGGCATGCAGTGCATCTTATTTTCCTCTGGTAAAGCTCATCTTACCCCGCACTCTCTACTTGCACTGCATATTTTGGGAAGTACTGTAACAGCACTGTTACTTTGCTTGATCTTAGCCAAAAGGCCAAGTATGTATTTGAGTATTTGAGTGATATTTCAGTCCTCTTTCCTCCTCTTTGTATAGCTCAACTAATACTATGTAACACATTTTAACTGGCGTGGCTTTCTTCTCATGCAGAAGGGCAGGCTGACTGATGCCACATGGCCATAACTAACACTGTTGTTGCAAAGCAGTGTGGAATCTCAACACTGTGGCACTGCATGCTGTTTCCTTGTGTGGGTGATACTTCATCTTGTACGACACCTTGTTCCAAACAAAAAAAAAGCTGATTAGTACATTATTAGCTGAAGGAATATTTGAGAAATGTATATTTCCTACTGGGCAGGCAAAAGAATGAATGAATAAATAAATAAATACATGTGAAAGATATGAAAAATCATGTGAAACACCTAATTTGTCTAAATTTGTATTTTGTAATTTATGTAAAAATTCTCACATACTGTAATACTAATAGTTTGTGTTAGTGTGTTACGTTAGTGTGTGTGTGTGTGTGTGTGTGCAAATTTAAACAGTATTTTAAATATTATACATTTTACTTCTGGTTTACATTTAAATAATAGTTTCAGTATAGTTATTTGCCTCAAAATCCTTTATATTTAAGAGCCTGGTGGTGATAGCAAGTTTATTCCTGTAGCTAATTTGTAGGTGGTTAAACTGGTGGTGTCACAGCTCTCTCCCATATATCATGTTAATAATGATCATATCCAGTAGGTGGTAGCATTGCATTTAATATCACTCTAGGAGCCTTACAAAACCTGACTATTTTCTGCGCTGAATGAGGACAAACTCAGCTTTATGTCACTGTGTATATTAGCTATAGTTCCAAAGCACTGTTCTTAGGTTAGTTTTTCTGTTGTTTGCATTTGTCTGTTTTCGCCAAAGCTACACAGCTTATAAGATCGCAGTGAAATCCGAGCTGGATCATAAAGTGTTTCATTAAACTTCTAAATATTTTCCAGGGCCAATAAACTGACGAGAATCTTTCCTCTTGTGCGTATGATCCAACACCCTCCTTCTCAGACCTTCTCATTTTAAGCCAGATCTCCCACTGGAAGTTAAAAAATAAATCAGTCTGACACATTCCTATTGGTCAACTTTCGTTTATTCCTTTGTAAAAGCACTATTTCTGTACAAAGAGAGCTTTGGAATTAAATATCTTGTGATTTATTTGTTTCCTCTGCTCCGTTTCTTTCTCAAGTGGGCAAAGTTTGACATACAAACTTGCAATCAACCGGAATCCATCCAAAATACTGCATTATTTGGCATTTTTCAATGTTTTGAGAGCTGTTTGAAATCTAAGCCATGTGTGTGAGTCAGTTTATCTCCTAAAAAGACTGATGATTTCAGCAGTTATGATGTTATCTGAACTTTCAATTCAGTTTCACATTCTTATGTCTCACCAGAGAATCCACAATAAGAAATGTTTATGTGCAAATGCCTTTGTCAAACGTCAGAGAGCTTAAAGGGGTCATATGATGCGATTTCAGTTTTTCCTTTCTCTTTGAAGTGTTACAAGCTCTTGGTGCATAAAGAAGATCTGTAAAGTTGCAAAGACTAAAGTCTCAAATCCAAAGAGATATTCTTTATAAAAGTTAAGAGTCAACCACGCCTACCTAAAACGGCTCGTTCTAACACGCCCCCACATATCTACATCACGATGTGGGAAGATTTGCATAACACCGCCCAAATGTTCACGCAAAGAAAGAAGGTGTAACTTTTATTCTCGCTGTAGTATTGTTGCTGCCGCCATGTCATGAAGACACTGTGTGATTCGTTGTGAAAGTGAAACTACTTTGTCTGGTCTTCCAAAAGAGGACAATATCTGCTTCATCATGCCTGGAGCTGATCCGTGCTGGTCGCTGAGGAAATACATCAACTTCGCGCTGTGGATCGCCGGATCGGCTTTCACTGTGGACGAAGCGGAGTCCAGCCCGGGGTCGTCACATGCAGTTCCCACAAACCCGCCGGCCGCTGCTTCGTCGAACCCACAGGCCACACCGTTCTCAAGCCTGCCCGCCCCTGCTCACTCTAGCCCCGGGCCGCCGCTCACTCATTTGAACCTTAAACCGCATAAACACATTTCATTACACCAAATACACAAAATAATGTTCTTTTTAGCAACATCATATGACCCCTTTAATATAAAGCAGATTTGACTTGACGATTTTAGATAGTTTAAATTGTTTAAAAATGTCAAATATTACAACAGAATGAAGTTCTCAGGATATTGTATTCTCATTGAAGTTGTACTACAGCACTCAGCATGTGCACGCGCATTTATTCTCCCCAGTTAACTAAATCTGAGAAAGCTTTCCTTTGGCATCATCCTCAAATGTTAACACCAGTCATAAATACTGTTTACTACAACTTTATAGTAGTTAATTATATAAAATTATGAAGATATATGCACCCATTATAGGTTATAGGTGTGTAGCATTTGGACTCCTCAATATCTGGCATACGTTTTCAAGCAGTTGATTTTTCATAGTTTTCAAAATAGCTTTGTGGCCTTCTTTCTCAAGCATCTGGTGTGAGGAACTTCCTCTCAGTTAGTCACACCATGGCTGACTAATGTTTCATCATCTCATTTCCCAGCTTGCCAAGCAGATTGGATTCTCAGATACTAACAGCCTTCGCTTTGGGACATGGGGGGTACTTGTGATTTAAATGAAACTATTTGAATTCTGTAATCCTGATGTATGAACTTTTCACTCAGAACTCGGGCTATAATTTTTCCTGGAAAGAGAAGAGCCTGGTGTTGTATTTTGGCCGGCCTGGTCACCAGCTAGATCTGCTTAAAGAGGGGGAATTCTTTGCAGCTCTGGCGTACAGGACGACATAATATGTCATAAATAGTTGCAGACTTCCTTTTTCCTGTTGAGGCTTGTCTACACATTCCGTCATCATAGCCAGAGAACTGAAACATTTTTGGTCAGATTATTAACCGTCGGTTATTACAGAATTTGACTTATTTCTGCTGTTGCACTTCAAAGGCTGTTGCTGTGTTCACACTGTTGACACAAATCGCTGTATATCCAATTATTACTTCCATAAATAATGTATAATTGCCATAATAAAAAAAAAAAGTATATATATATATATATATATATATATATATATATATGCTGTACTGTTCAAAAGGTTTGGATTGATCAAAAGTAACAGCAAAATTATTGACATTGTGACAAAATAACTATTTCAAATAAATGCTGATTTTTTTTTTTGTTCAAATTAAATCTTTTTCACTTTCTGTTCAATCAGAGAATCCTGAAAAACTGTATCATGGTTTCCAGAAAAAAACAAAAAAAAATGAAGCAGCTCAACTGTTGATAATAACAACACTGATAATAACATTGATTCAACATTGATCATTCAAAATTGATAATAATAATCAAAAATGTTTCTTGAGCAGCATATCAGAATGATTTCTGAAGGATGATGTGACACTGAAGACTGGAGTAATGATGCTGAAAATTCAGCTTTGATCACAGCAATGAATTACATTTTAAAATATATTCAAATAAAACACTGTTATTATTGTTTTAAATGATATAAAAAATATATTTTACAATATTACTGTTTTTAATGTATTTTTGATCAAATAAAGACAGCCTTGGTGAGCAGAAGAGACTTCTTTCAAAAACATATTACCAACCTCAAACTTTTGAATGGAGTGTATGTACAGATATAACAGATGTTAACACAAACTGCCTGATAAATACATTGATAAACAGTGTCAAATCACAAAATGAATAGTTCTGACACTAAATTCTGATTCGATGAGTTGTTATACAATAGACGATATACACTGTCTGTTTCAGTGCGACAAGTACGTAAAGAGCTGAACAGTTATGCTGATATGTTATATTGCGTGGCAGAAGAATTGTTTATTGTGATTATTACTAATCATTTATAAAATTATATTTTACTTAGCAATTTATCATATAGCTTGTTCTAGCATCTTGTAAAAGGCATTTGAATTGTAGAAACGTCATGTTGTGTCTAACAACACCTCATGCCTATTTTACAATCATGGACCGCAGGAACACTCGGTATGTGCTTTATGTTGGAACTGTGGCTTTGGGAGATCCAAAAATGGTATTCAGCTTCTTTTTTTGGTACTGTCATCAGCATGTGCCTGTGTTACAAGAGGCCAAATAGAGCTGATGAGGGCAGAGGATCTGCAAAGCCACAGTGGAAATCAGTGGGCGGAAATTGTGCGAAGCCTGTTCCTCTGGAAAAGGTACGTGAGGTCAGGCAGAGGGAGGACGGGCATCTGGAGGTTCCGGAGCTCAGCATGCATCTCCAGAGACGTGGATCCAGGGGTGAACAGTCAGATTTTTGGAGATTTGGAGATGCAGCTGCACTCCACAGCGGTCCCCGGGGCCCATCGGCCCTGGGTTAAGGCCTCTGGGACTTCCGGTGGCACCTGAACAGCGGAGCGATGGTGTGGAGAGTGGCACAACCCTCCCTTCACTCATCCTCTCGCTCAGACGCAGGACTGGCGAGAAGGAAGAGAGATTGACGAGAGGCAGAAAGAGTTTCTCAAAACGGCTCCGGGAAGTTCAGAAGTCCTCTTAACTTTGATAACTGCGAATTGAGGAAAAGATGTACGGCGGATTAACTTTTTATGGGCTACTTCATTGACAATCTAAATCGGATTTATGGGGTTGTGTTTTCCATGACTGCGATTGATTTGTTGGTTTGTTTATGACCTGCAGAACTCAGCTCTTTCCTTTGTGCAGGGCCAAAGACATGAAGAACCGACTCGCTTTCCTGAGGAGGAGGAATGAGTCTCCCGGAAGCTCCCCAGTCGGCAAGCTCGACAAATCCAAGAAGTCTGTCAAGTGAGTGTGTTTGTGTGTGTGTGTGTGTGTGTGTGTGTGTGTGTGTGTGTGTGTGTGTGTGTTTGTGATGTCTGCCTGCTTCCTGGGTAATGATCCAGCTGGTGGCTCCCTGCTCATGTGTGTGGGATGAAAGAGACAGACACAGTAAGGAAGCTCTAAAAAGATGTCTTTTAGATGAATACCTTTGGAAGGGGTTTTTGCAAATATAAATAATCTAAAGTTGAGCATTTTCATGTATTTATAACGCTTTGGTTTAGTGTTTTGCCCTAAATAAATGGTTTATTTTGAGAGAGTTACACATCTGTACAGCAGTAGTATAGACAGATAGGCAGTAATAGATATTGCATATTCCATAGATTGATGGTTCATCACCACTTTGTCACAGGATTACTACTAAAACTAAAACCATAACAAAAACACATTCTGTTACTTGAAACAAATGTCAACTGAAATAAAATAAAACTTTTTTTATTTCAGTTTGTTGCCAAGAAATAAAAATGACAAAAAAAATAAAAAATAAAACTGTATAGACATAAAAAAAAAATAAAAATGACAAAAGCACACAACAAAATTCTAAAACTTTAACACACAATAATAATAATAATAATAATAATAATTATTATTATTACTATTATTATTATTACTATTATTATTATTACTATTATTATTATTTTATATCAATTACAGTGAAATATAATTATGGTTAAAATAATCACCTATGGTGGTTAAAATTACTTTTAAAAAATCTGTCTAATGTAGAGGATGTCATGCACCAAAGGGTTAAATTATGATTAGATATGTGCTGCAGAAATGTTTATACTGCCGAGATGGTCTGAGTGAGTGACATTGCTAGCATTAGTATTTTAAGTTTGTACATGAACTGCAAAATTTCAAATGTTTTATGGTACAGATCTCAATGCACAGAAGTAGCAAGTAGGGCAGAATAAAAATTACAGGTGTGAAGCATAGATCTTTGTTTGCTTGCACTCTGTGTTTTGATTTATGGTTTTATGTTAAATAACACTCCCCTCTTCCCTTATTTGGCAGTGGCAAAGTAAGTGTTAAAGCTGCAGACTGTAGGTGCTGAGTTTAGACAGACAATGAAGGCAAGAATGAGTCTTTGAGAGAAGCTGTGGGCGGAGCCTCCGGCTGACACGTAATTCTATTGGTGCAACCTGATCCCACCCCCTCCTCTCCACAGTGAGAAGTATAAAAGAGGCCGTCCAAGAGATACTTACTCAGATGCTCACACACTCAGACAGACACACACAACTCGAGCGAGAGAAGGGCAGAGCTTCGAATGGGTCATACAATGAGAAACCTTATATATATATATAAAAAATACTGGCGGATTGGTTTTAACTTGTTTTAGTTTTGAAGAATGGAATATATATTTTTTTTCTTTTGTATTGCATAAAAAAGAGCTACTTTTGTATTGGTGGTTACATAAAGATGATCTAAAATCAGTACAAAAGAATGAGTCTTTGAGAGAAGCTGTGGGCGGAGCCTCCGGCTGACACGTAATTCTATTGGTGCAACCTGATCCCACCCCCTCCTCTCCACAGTGAGAAGTATAAAAGAGGCCGTCCAAGAGATACTTACTCAGATGCTCACACACTCAGACAGACACACACAACTCGAGCGAGAGAAGGGCAGAGCTTCGAATGGGTCATACAATGAGAAACCTGACAGAGATGGGTCTGCTGAAAAACCGTTCTGTCTTTATTTGCAGGCCCACTCCTGAAGAGTCAATGAAGTGGGGTGAATCTTTGGACAAGCTGCTCATCCACAAATGTAAGACATATTCTCTTTATATCATTTGTTTTCCTTTTCTCATGTATGTAATAAACTTGTTGTATTGGATGTGTTTGACGAATCCCATTGGCTTGTCTTGAATCCACAGGGATGGTGACTGCATTGTTGCATTGTGTTAAGCATGCATGCTTTCGCTAGACTTCCTGCTCTGAGTCACTGAATGAACGGTCTGTTGAACGTGGTCAATGGCTCTCATATGGATCTCAATGGATCCTATGGAGTCAGAGGAAGACCACAGATTAAAGCACTCAGACAAAAGCCCACCATCCATATCATGGCTTTGAATCAAATTCATTCGTTTCGTGACATTGAAAGTGCTTGTGACGCAATTAAGTCCTGAGATTTTAGGCAGGAGATGTCTTTTTCTGCAGCGATTGTTTCCCTAATACGAAAAGCTGAGAGCATCCACATGCTGTTATCAGCAGGCTCTTATGAGAACGGAAAGGTGATTGCGTGCTTTGGGACGGAACCACACTTCCTTCTATTTTAACACTGGGCGCCTTCAGAGCGGAAAGGAAATCTAAAAAATGTCAGTGTGTAGTGCTTCTGAATAAGGAAATCAATGTGATGCTTGCTGCAGTGCTTACCTTCATGTGCTTGGTAGCAATAGCAACCTGCAGTACAAATAATGTGAGTTCAAGTTGAGTCATTGAAAGTGATTAAAATAATTACTTAAAATAAGTAATTATTTTAATTATAATTATTTTGGCAGTGCCATGAAACATGGCAGCAGGAGTCTCAGGGGAGAACAAATGAAATTAAATTACTATTTGGAGTTGTGTTCTCATGTTAATGCACTAAGTAGTGACTCAGAGTTTGGTGCTCAGAGCTGCCTCTTCAGTGGAGGCTGCCGTTGCCATGGTTCTCTGTTTATCCTAGTCTAATAACATCTCCCCTTTTCTGCCTCTTTATTTTTTCCCTCTCCCTCATCAGATGGGCTGGCGGCGTTTAGAGCTTTCTTGCGCACGGAGTTCAGTGAAGAGAATCTGGATTTCTGGCTGGCCTGCGAGGATTACAAGAAGATTAAATCACAGTCCAAGATGGCATCGAAAGCTAAGAAAATCTTTGCGGAATTCATCGCTATCCAGTCTTGTAAGGAGGTGAGCATAGTCTCATATTTATTTCAATTTTTACAGACTGCGATCATCTGACAGTAAAAGTCATTACAGATATTAATTGGGAGTCAAGAAAGTTGAGCACCACTCGCTGCGTCTAAACAATGCCACCATTCTCTATTTAGCAGTGTAAAAAAAGGCTGGAAATGTTCCTAAAATACTCTGCTTTGTGTCAGGAGCCTAAAAAATTGGTCAAAGAAAAAGCCATGGAGGACATGATGTCATGCCTGACTAATGGTCTCCCTCTTAGCCGCACAACACAGCAGATAGTATGAGTGCATGTTTTCATTTTGCAAACTTGGAATGCAGTTTGGAAATTCTAAATCAGATGAGCAGCAGGACCTTGCAGCAATTTCCAGCAGTAACTCTTCAGAACCCGCTCAGGCTGAGCTTTGTGTAGTTTAAAGTTGCCAGACTTTTAGCATAAAGTCCAGTCCAGATTTCAGCTTAATCTGACTACTCGCTTAGACTGGAAGAGACCACCTTACCAGCATGTTAATCGACCAACCACAGTTTGTTTTATGTGCCATTTATTTCTGTAAAAAAGATTAATGTTTCTCATCTAGTTATAGATTCAGGACCCTGACTTTACAATGAACACCAAGCAGTGACCGAACACGATAATCGAATGTTGGGCAGCAATAATAATAATAGAAAAAAAAAGTACTAAATTGCCAATGTCAGCATCAAAAGATACGGGAAGATTTTCTCACTCCTTCTTTTTAAATTAAACAGCCTATCTATTTTGTGTGCCGATCTCCATGAATGGCTGTAAAAAAATGTAGTAGAAACCTACAAAGTTGTGTCTACCTGACTTGTCAGAATTTCCACAAATAGTAAGCACTGAGTATTTCATAGTCAATGTAAACATTACTTTTTTTTCCATGTGGGAAAAAAAACACTTGCATGTTGCATAAAATCCGTCATAATCTATAGGATGTAGCAGTTTGCCATTTGTGCACAATATACATGAAACCAAGGGTGTCCAGTCCTGCTCCTGGAGGGCCATTTTCCTTCAGAGTTTAGCTCCAACAGACTGCCTAGAAGTTTCTATTAATCCTGAAAACCTTGATTAGTGGGTTCCACTGTGTTTAATTAGGGACACAGCTGAACGCTGCTGGAAGGTGGCCCTCCTGGATCAGGAGGTCTATAGACAGTCCATAAATGGACTGGTGGAAATCTGGCACAAACGTGCTTTCGGTCTAAACTCTCTGTGACCTTACTGTAACTTGAAGTAAAACGACTGTTGACTTGGAAGTAATGCCTTTTTGTTTGTCCTCAGGTGAATTTGGATTCCTGCACCAGGGAACACACTAAAGAGAACTTACAAAACATCAGTCGCTCTTGTTTCGACCTGGCCCAGAGAAGGATATACGGCCTGATGGAGAAAGACTCGTACCCTCGATTTCTGCGCTCAGAACTCTATGTGGAGTTAGTGAATCAAAAGAAACCCAGCACCACATCAACCTCCTCCTAAGATGACAGAGAGAGAGAGAGAGAGAGAGAGAGAGAGAGAGAGAGAGAGAGAGAGAGACTATAAAAAGTAGCATTGGAGAGGTTTCTTTCACTTAGCATTTCATTCTCATCAGCCATTCTCTGTGTTAATGTGGCGAAAAGACAGGGAGTGGAGAAATGCTCAAGGCATCGTTTACAAGTGGTGAAAGAAGGTAGTGTGACCCGACCTAATGGCGCTGGACGAGTGGGGCACCACCATGCTGAATTATGCTGGTTATTCCCATTTGAATTTTGTTATTTAATTGGTTTTCCAAGTGTACTGGAGACATTTGAGGCAATTATTGCCTCTTTAACATTAAGACAGCTGGGTACTGTTTAGCATCTTTATCTTCTTCTGCTGGAGCACTATTGGTGCCACCAACCTCTCTTTGTTCTCCATTTCATGATGACTTTCCTGGACATTTCAGAAATATCTCGTCCCTACAGGGTTGGATGTCGACAATGAACAAGCACTTATCGCTCAATGGTGTTTCTGTGAACCTTCATCCATGTCCGTCGACTCCATATCACATGAAGAGGTGCAAGAAATGCTGGCACAAAACATAATTTAAAAGACAATTCATAAATTCATAAATAAATAACGCTCTAGAGGAATGGACCAAATTGCAGCTGAAGACTGAAGACTGGAGCATTTCGCTCTGAGCTTGAAATGGACTTGAAATTGGGCGTTGGTCTCTAAAGAGTATACAAAACATGCTTAGCTGTGATATGTAAAGCCAATAAGCCATTCATTGTAGCTCCGCATTAAGAATGGAAGAGACAGTATTCTCAGGACATTATGGCACTCAATTATGAAGCTTATTTAACCTTCTGTTTCTATTCTTAAAATGTTGTTTTTTCCGGACTTTAGGTGTAATCATGCACTCTATATTTAATAGAGGTCATTTAGGATCTTTCCCTATATCTGTTAATAAGACAACATATTTTACCAATACAAAAAAGTAGTTATTTATTTAGAGGTTTTACTGGTTGCTTTGTTCATTGCACTCAGCTGAATTTCCCTTTTCCACTTTGGTCCAGGTCCACAGCTGTCCTGATGGAAGTGCAATATGTTTATTATTTTTATTTCTTGACTTATCTTATGGATAAGTTTACCTTTTTTATGAAAAAGACAATGGATTGAGATCTGTATTCATTTTATTGTAAGTTGCAGGTAATGTAAGAATTACATTAATACACAAATTATTCTAACTGTGGTTCCCTGGCAGCAGGCAGCCGGGTTAATGGATGTATATATGATTCTTAAGAAAAAATGACAAAAAGATAAAAACACACAAGGTTTTGTGGGTGTACCATGAAGCGTTGCTGTACCTATGTAAATATGTGAACCTTAAAGCTATAAAATGACATGTATTGTTATAAATCGGGGCGGAGCAGGTATGGTCGTCCTCTGCCTTGGACGTACACTGCTTTGTTGTTTTATGAACTGTATTTTAGCATTATAATAATAAAATAATAATAAAACGCAAAACACAAATAAAACATTTAGATGGTTAAATTGGACAATATTGCCTCCTGCCTCTCTTTTATTATTATTTCTGTATCTTTGCATTTTGTGGCATTTTTTTCCAATTTAGCATTTTGCATTGCATTGCATTTTCAGCATTGCTGAACTTATAAAGGGGTCAGTTATTTACCCCACACACGCTTTAAGAAAATTAAGCCTATTTTGTTCTTGGCATTATTTTCATGAAAAAGTAGGCACGTTTTCTTAAATATTCAATATGAATATTTCGCTACTGGGAAAAAAAGTACAAATCAAATGTAAATCATCTGGATGCATTACAATGAGATTTTTCTTTATGGTAATTAAGGGTGGGGAAAATACTTAATTGTCATGAAAACACAATGTCACAGCATATATCCCTGCTAAATGTTCTGGTTTGGGGACTTTTGAAGATTTGGTGAGGAAAATAACTAGCATTGAGACTAACAGGTAATGGGATGTATGCAAAAGAATAGCTGTCTGTTTTTTACATATTTTTTATTTGATTTTCTTTATTTCATTACATTCCTCTTTGTAATATTCTTCAAAACCTTTACTAGGATTCCCCGTCATTTAGGACCGAGGATCAAACAAATCCCAGGAGAATGTGTTGTTTTCATAGAGGAGATCTCTGTGAATGAATGCACGGTTTGCCTCACTTGCAGTCTCAACACTGCAAATAGCAGCAATTGAGGGACCTCTTCAGTGAGTTGCTATGGAAATATTGGCTTTTCCTGCCAGACGCCATTGGGAACCCGTGGCCCTTGATCGCTGCAAGTGGCTCTGCCAACCCAACAAGGACACTTTATCCGAATGAGCTTCACAATAGTCATGGCCACCTGGCAGATCTGAATGCTCTCGTGAGCAGCTGTCTGCTCTTCAGTCACTGAAAAAAAAAAACAGACTGCATGATTTATTCAGATTGGGATCTACACAACAAAATTGTGTTTCTGTTCTGAACTTGATTTCTTTGCTTTTGATTAGTGTAATTAAGGTAATGTGCTATCTATTGAAATAAAATGTGTGGGGTGAATGTGAACCAATCAAGTACTCAAAAATTTGTTTTGCTGTTGACATTACTAAAACTCCAGTTCCCATGATGCTTTGTATATGACTTAATGGAGTAAAATTGCTGAAATTAAGAAAGAGACTTGATAGTTTTTAATGTTTAATTATTTTGGGATTTAGACCCGTTCGGATACACTGGGTTATCGTTGTGGTGAAGAGTGGAGTATTTGCTTTGGCTGAGGTTTGGTACACATAGCAGATGTTTTGCTACTTTACTCAACATTTAGCATGGTAGTATGTTATTGCTAGTTAAAATACTAGCTAATACAATACAATCTGAATGATTACATATGATTACATATAATCAGTTAGCTGAATATATTGAGAATACCTACGTATAAGAGATGCTTCTCTTACCATTCACCTTGTGTGAATGTAGCCTTAGCCAGGAGGAGCTGATGTCATCAGATGGTGTCCAACACTCCTTGGGCGTTTCGACCCTGAACCGTAACACTCTCCTGTTGGTGGGTCGGCAGTGGTGGCCAAATCACTGCCCATCTTCTCCTCCTAGATTCCAGCTTTGCTCCTCTCTCCTATTCCATAACCAACAAGATGATCTTTCTTCTGTCTCCCCCATCCTGCGGATTGCTACCTTCCTCTCCTTTCCTGTTAGTCAGTTGCTGTAAACATTCTCCATACCAACTGGGCCCGGAATCCTCTACAGTCAACCTCGACTGGGAAAAGCCATGCCTGCCAATCTTTGTCCCGTCATTGTTATTTTGCACTCTTCCTTTGTGTATGACTTAATGGAGTAAAATTGCTGAAATTAAGAAAGAGACTTGATAGTTTTTAATGTTTAATTATTTTGGAACATGCGATGGCGCCACAGACGGCAGCCTCAGTGTTTGGCTCTCCAGTGTTTGTACTGTTTTTGTTAGTTTTTCCTGTTTTTTGTTTCTCAAACACGATCAGTTTTATCAGGGATGAGCTGCTGAACATTCGGCAGAACACACCACACAATCTTCTACCGGATTTCGTTTTTTCGGACGTTTTGCTGAACGTTGTAGTTGGCGGAGCAGCTGCGCTGATCAAGCGCTTCAGGACGCGCAGACGAGGGAAGCGAGTCGGCGCGCTCGTGAAGCTCAGGAAGCGCGGATTCAGAATTCCCCAGCACTGAGGCCAATCAACAACTTGCTGAAGACCTGAATGAGTTTTACTGTAGATTTGAAACTCCCAGTCTAACACCCCACACCCGCTTTGAACATCTCTCCACACAACCATCAACACCTCTTGCAACCTTGTGTTGTTGTTGTATCCGTGTACTGGAAGCTTGTGACACTATAACAAATTCCTTGTATGTGCAAACATACTTGGCAATAAAGCTCTTTCTTTCAAAAGCTTGGTGGCCTCCTTCTTCCTATTGGACTGTAAGTTTGATCAAGATGATCTTCTTTGCCTAGTCAGACCACAGAACCACATCTGACCTTAGGGTTTTCAGGACTACTTGTGGGAACTGCAGTCTTCCTCCCAGATCTACTCTCATCTCCCATGCCTGGGCCTTTTGTAATAGGTTGGTTGTTGTTGAGAATATATCAGCTGATATTTTGAGTCTCAACTAAATATATTGGCTAGATGTATTCATGTGTTTTAATGGTGTTAAGGATAGTGTAAAAAACAGTGATGGTGTGAACATAATGTGTGAGCATTTCTGAAACAGCAGAGACTATAGCATTAGTAAAACCAAGGACATTGGTTAGATTCTCAAAAAAAGGCATAAAACTAATGTATAAACTTGAAATGTAAATTGCTTGGGATAAAAGCTGCCTCAAGCTGACCTGTGGAAGTGTGGCCTGGTTACTGGTTATCACTATGCCTTGTAAAAAATACAAATTTTAGTAACTGTATTTTCTGTAATTATGCCATTGTGCAAATTTATTGACTAAATCTAGACTAAAGCAGAAAAATGCATGTGCTACAATGCAGTAGATGCTGACGTGTTAATGGGGCTTAATTCACTGTTGTACATAGGAAAACATCCTATTCCAGGAAACAACAATACAGAGCAGATCCTCTCACCGCTTTATTCAGCTTACCTTGTTCATGTGTCTTGTGAAGCTGGCTGTTCATGTCTTTCTCTCATTGTTTTTCCCAGTACAATGGTGGATAATGCAAACTAGTTCTCAGAAACATGAACTTCTGGTTCCGGCCAATGCAGCCCCATCATCATTCTTCCAAGGCCTGATGGCACCTTCTTATTCTGCAATGACAAAGGTGAACGATATCTTGGCTATTGGCAGGTCTCCCTGATGCCAAAGGCACAGGAAAAGCCATCCTATAGCTTCCCATCTGATCACTGGCAGTATCAGGTCCTTCCATTTGGGCTACATGGGTTGCTGGCCACCTTCCAAATACTGCCTCCCAATCATAGGTGTTGGCAGTTATGGGGTGACCAGATTGTGGGACACTGGTTAATAGTCCCTTTGGTAACACTCTTTGCTGTCAAACCCTCTGTCTACCTGAACACACGCTGCTGCCAGAAGCAGAGCAATTGGGGCCCCAGCCTCATATTTTCATGGCAGATGAAGACTTCCCTCTCTGTAGAGACCTGACAAGATCCTGCTTAGGAACCACCCATTCCAGTGGACAGTTCAACTAAATGTTTTTATGACCAAGACTGAGTTTTGAGAATGAGCCCTGCCAATGCAGAATGCTGTGTGAAGCTCACCTGTGATCTACAAATCTCCCTGTGGAGGACAGCAAGGACTGTGAGGGTAATCAATGTTAGTGATGGAGCATCAGCTGTACCCTACTCGCCTCTCTTGGCTGCACTGGGTCTCAGTTTCTACAGTTCTTTCACAGAACATTATTTTACCTTTTTTAAACATAAAATGCAGGTCAACAGGCCTTTTCAACCGCAAACAGGTAAAGTGTTCTCCCTCTAGCCTCCATGTTCTCTGTCTAGCTGCTGACTGATTATGCATTGGCTGCTTGCAGGGTCTGATATTTATGTCCTATTGTATATCCCACGCTACATACTTTGTAAATTCCTCCACTAAGCAGATGCAACACATAGCCTGACAGCTGAATTGTTGTCTTATTTAACACTGGGTTTTCTTTTAAACCCAAGAAAATTTGTTTCTGACCTGCTGGTCAATAAGACCGTACATTGCTTAAGATAAAAACAATGTTCACGAGTTGCAAGTTCATGCAACTTTATCACCGCTGTTTATCATATTCAACAGTTGTGAAATCCCAGTCCACTCAAAATTTGATACTTCAGTGACCAGCCACATTCAATTTATATCCCAAATATTTATCATATCTAGAATTTACTTGTATGGGTTGTTTGTTAATTGTAAACACACACCATCTATTACACCCACTCCTCCTCTTAAAGAATTCACATTTTGACTTCTTCATTTGTTGATCAACCCACTGGATGAGATGACAGTGGTGAGGGGCAGTGGCTACCATATTGAAACTGCTGATGAAATGTTGATAGAATTTAGCAAACCTGAGGAACTACTGCAACTCCCTCATGGTTGACAGTTGACAGTATCCATCTGAATGGCCTTGAAACCAATGGCATACCCCAGGAAATAGATGGAGGTCTGATGGAATTTATACTTCTCAGCCTTAAGGTGTACATTACGTCTGTCAAGTCACTGCAGGACCAGCCTTACATGATGGATATGCTCATGGAGAGTGGTAGACACTGAAGATTTCCTCTATGTAAGACTGAAAGACTGAGGGGGTACTGACCAGGTGATACAGCATGACAGTTTGTACAGTGGCATTTAGGGCAGTCGTGGCCTGATGGTTAGAGAGTTGGACTTGTAATCCAAAGGTCACGGGTTAGATTCTCAGTACTGGAAGGAATTGTAGGTGGGGGAGTGAATGTACAGAGCTTTCTTCCACCTTCAATACCCATGACTGAGGTGCCCTTGAGCAAGGCACTGAGCCCCCAGTTGCTCCCCGGGTGCCGCAGTAAATGGCTGTATGGGTTACCATACTTAGTCACATGTTATGTCACTTCAATGAATGTGGATGAGGTTGTATGGCCCCTCTCAGGAGTTCCAGACTTTCAAAATAACTTCACTTAAGAGAGATTTAGTTCAAAGGGCGGCAATACATGGCCAGAGACCCCCATCCTTTTTGGCCTGAGAGAAAGTGGATGTGGCAAGAAAGGTGGTTGGGTGAATATAGCCCTAGCAAATAACAGATATATGGGTGAATATAACTCTGGCAAATAACTTCATCAATATACTCCTCCATCACCTGCTGTTCTGGGAACAACAGGGTCCATCCATCCATGAGAAAGAGGAGGGCCACTGAGTAATTTGATGGCACATTTGGAGAGAGTGGTGTGGAACATTGGATCTCCCAGAGGTAGAGTTGTGTAACAAGCGAGCGGGAGAGGCCAGAAAGGCATCAAGGGAGAAAGTATAATAAGAAATGAAGACAATGTCTATTAAATCAAGAAGTTTATGAAGGGGGTGTAGTGAATGGACCTTTCCATCTCGCAGGATGGGCAAATAGGACAAGTGGACATGAAATGGTCAGCAACTCCTCCTCTACTCTGATGGCATCAGTCAGGTGGTGATGAGATGCATCAGATCTTTTCTAAGTGGATTTGGCTGGCAGGGAAATGGAAACTCTCCTGATGTAATGGGGTACATGCAAGCATGCTGTGTATCATGGCAGGATTGGAGACAATAATCCAATCTGAGGGATAACTGGATGATCTGTTCAAGTGCATACTGGTAGAAAATGTATAGCCTGAATGCACTGTATGCACTGTTGGATAAAAGTGTCTGCTAAATGCATACATTTAATTTAATTAATTTTAATTTAATTTAATTTAATTTAATTGAATTTAATTTAATTTAAGTTGCATGGTATCAATTACATAATTGAATTTTAGTTCAAGTGTCTTAGTCAACACTTGGAGATAGGTGTCTATAAGAGCAGGCTCATTCCAACTAGAATGACTGGTTGATGTTCAAAGACCTCCTGAAAGTGAGCGACAAACAGGTTAGCTGACTGGGTAACTGGATCTTCCTGCCTCCAGTTCGTAGAGCCCCTACTATAAAGCTTTCCTCATCAGGAGAGAGATGTTATATGCAATCCTTGCTCACTTTGAGAGTACTCATTGAGACTGCATCTTGAATGCCAGCAAACAATGTAGAAGGAAGCTTCTGCACTCCCTCATGGAGCCAGAATAGCTTGCCAGGGTTGTCATGTGCTGAATTAAGTCGAAACTGGAAGGGGTTGGCTCTGTGGAGCTGATGTGGAATGCACTGATTACCTGTAAAGCAACTTTATGGGTAATCAGTGACTCCTGACTCCTGACTCCTGATGAAGTGGAGATTGAAGGGAGCGTGACATGCTTTACTCATGACATGTTTTACTAATAATTTGTAATGGAAATTATAAGACTGTAAAATAGCAACTTGACCTCCACCTTAACACTCCACTACAATATCTGAATGAAGTGTGCTCGGTCACACTTTATTTTAAGGTCCAATTCTTGCTATTAACAAATCATTAACTACGACGTTTGCCTCAAATATTCTCCTAATTTGCTGCTAATAACCATTGGTGCCAAGTCTGAATATGGGAAAGGACGAAAACGATTTGAGAGCTGCGTTCCACAGAACAGAGTTGTGCTGTGAGTAAAGGATGACATACTTTTTTGGTGAACTACATCAGGACTTTAGGTAGTTTCCTGAAGCTCAAATGATTAACACATGATCTACTGCACAACCAGCTACTGTTCACCCTTCCCCCAATCATTTCACCCTTCCCCCAATCATTTCATCAGCCGGAGTCTAACACTTTTGAGCAATGTCCATCCAGCTGAAAAAAAAAAAAAAAAAAAAAGAACAAAACGGAGAAAAAAAATCAGGAAAGATTGCAGGGATTGTAGAGAGAATGCTACATCATGTGAAAGCAATGTTGTGCTAAGCTATAATACAACACTATAAACATGAATAAACAACTTAATATGAGAATGTTATGTATACATAACTTTAATGCTATATACTTGTAATGAGTGTAATGAGTCGTATGACTGTGAAGACCTAAAAATGAGGAAGTTGTCAATTTGTATAAATAACTTTATCAGTCTGCCTACTTGTGCTTGAGGAGGATCTGACTGGTGTGTCATTTGTGCTATTGTGCAAGACTATTAAAATAGTTTGTAATCTCCCACACTGCAGAGGTTGTGTTCTCATAAATCCAGGTGACACTTGAGACTCCCACGTTTTTGTAATTTTATGATTGCTGCTTGTCAGTAGCTAGTCAATAGCTAAACCAATATCGAATATTGTTTTTTTTATACCAAAAATGATATGCAATATGCAGAACTGATATTAATAATAGACCACAACAATCTTGCAATATTCCAAGAATCCAAGATCGCAACCGACTTTATTACCATATTGTGATGTATTTCCATATGAAACGACTTATCGAACCTTCATTCATGATTTATAAGCTGTTTTCCTCATGAGGACCTGAAAATGTCTTCCCACAAGTTCAAAATTGACTATTATTATCCTTGTGGGGACATTTGTTCCCCATAATGTAAGGAATACCAGGATCACACACACACACACACACACACACACACCATCATCATCAGTTGCAGTACTCCTTGGTTGTTTATTAGATGGCCATGGAAGGAGCTTTTACATTATGGACCCCAAATATTTTTTTTTTCATAGTATAAAATTAGTCATTTAATCAGCCATTGTCAAGCATGTCACAGAAATCTATCCAAGACTGTTGAATTTGTGTCAGGATGAAATAAATCTTTATACGATTCTTAAAATCTGTCTCAGAGTGTTTTAAACTCCAAACATTCTCCTGTATGTTTAAAAAGCCTGAATGAAAAGAGATCTAAATCTGTTGCATTCTGCCCACACATAGACAAAGCATAACATCATTCAAAACCTTCACAAAATAAATAAATATCCACATTTTGACATCATTACGTCATTTTAAATAGTCTTTTGAACTTCCTCTTCCATTATTTGTCATACGTTCTAAACTTCCATTTGCAATGTGACATTAAGCAGCTCGACTGCACCAGTGAGTCATCAGAGTGGAAACTGAAGACAAAGACTATTTGAATAACAGCAAATGGACTGAAATAACCTGTTTAAGTTAACATGACGCACATGAGTAGATGTCAGTGATATTTCCATAAGAGCCAACACACCAGATTAATACATAAAACCATGCAGTGTATGAGCTCCTTTGCAAAAGGCAATGAAACAATAAATAAAAAATTTGTCATGCCTGGAGCTGATCCGTGCTGGTTGCTGAGGAAATACTACAACTTTGCACTGTGGATCGCCGGATTGGCTTTCACCGTGGACAAAGCGGAGTCCAGCCCGGGGTCGTCACATGTGGTTGCCGCATGCCATCCGGATGCTCCTTCGTCGAATCCCCCGGCCTCTGCTCACTCTAGGCCGCCGTGTGTGACACTGTTTCGTTGTGAAAGCGAAACTACTTTGTTTGGCCTTCCAAAAGAGGACATGACTAGAAATCAGTGGTTAAGTTGTATTTACAACACTGTTCCAGAACACTTCAACCCAAATATTCAGATGTGTGCAGCACATTTTATGGAGGACCGTTTCCTGATCCTGGGAGAGTAGACTACAATGCCAGCTGTTCTGACTCACAGACTGCAAGTACGTTTTATATATTTAAAGGGTTTTTATATTTTATATATTTAAAGCGAGTTTTTTGGGCAATGTAGAGTAGGACTTGTTGTTTGTCATTTTCGCTTTTTCAGACCGATGAGCTTTGTAAAAATCGACGCGTTTCAGAAAGGCGGGGCATAGAGGAGAAACTGTTTTCTCAAAAGTTTCACTTTTTTCTAACTTAAAGGCAGGGTAGGAGATTTCGGAGAGGCTAGCAACTGCAAGCTAGCTTTGAAAGCTTAAGATCTCACCCTCTCTGCAAATCACTCTCCAAAGCCACGCCTCCTCCAAAACACATGAACGCGCACAGGCAGACTAGAGGCTAACCAGCGACATGATAAGAGAAGAGATGTTTGTGGAGGGTTGAATGCAACGCTGTCAGATTACTTCATGTCTCATTTACCGTTAGTCTCGTTTAACATTACAGTACGATGCGCATAATATTACAATAATAACGCATTCCATTCTCACTTGGTCTGCAATAGCATAATGGAACGCGCTGATGACGTATCATGTCTGCATGAACAGGGTGTGCGCAGAGGTATGCAGATACATACTTTGACAGGTAGGACAGCCTATCATAGCCCTCAAACTGAGCGATATGATTGGACGAACACTTTATGGTCATACAGCTTCCACAGACGATATAAATACAGATTTAGACCACTTAACTTAGTGATCGCCATCATGGTGTATCATAGGGTAACCCTAACTTTCAACCAGAATAACAAAAAATGTTTTTGAACCAAATCACATACCCTGCAGTTAAGGGAGATATGTACTGGTGATGTGTCTCCAGAAAAAAAGTTGAGAAACACTGGCTTCGGTTTAGGGTCTGGTTTAGTATACATGGTACGTTATTTCAATTGTGATAGAGCATTAACCTTTTAGCACCACTCACTAAACATGTCCTTTCCTAAATGCTATGATAAGTACGACAACCAATGTAATAAAATATTTCCAGGTTATGTTTTGTGGAAAACTGAACGAATTAATCATTTTTCTGGAACATTTTTTTTCCCCCAATGAGCCTGGGTTGGCCAAAAGCATGTTTATGATACTTTTGGAAAACGGAGCCCACAGTTTAATTTTATCGTCTGTCATGCAATGATTTTTCTCGACTGTACTAAAATTGGCTCCAAACTGTGAGAGTGAGACCGAACGCATCTGTTCATTTACACAACAGCAGCGTTTTGGGGGCCTGACAACCTGAACTTTTGAAAACAGGTTTCAAAGTGCAAGCATTTGAAAATGATACTTTTATTGTCTTTGTGTAAACTACACAAATGCACATTTGTGAAAATGGTGATGTTGTGTACGTCGTGTATCACGTGTTTCCGTAGTGTTTCTTTACAAAGTGACATCACCAACTGCTGGCCTGGCATGCATAATACAGCATGTTAAGTCGTTTTCGTGGATCCATGTGACTTTTAGCACATCATTGTCATGTAAACGTACCCTTAAGGGATAGAAGATATTATTGGCTGTTTATGAGAGCTGCAGATATGCGTTCTCAGTCCTGCTCTGTGATGTTGCCAACAGTAAACAGTTATGCCTCTCAGTGCTGTGCATTATAGTTATTTACCTTAATCCACTGTGATGTTGCAAAAGACTAAGTCTAGTGTGAATGATTAGTAATAAATACATCTCCCATCATCCAATACTGATGTACTGACCAGTGCACTCTAAACTCATGCACTTGATTCCCTTTGATTATAACTGAATTTCTTGTTAAAGCTGTTTTGTACCATCACATAACAAAGCCAGTCGCAGACGCACGTGAGGCAGTCTCACAAAACAACAGTCTGGAATCAACAGTCTTGCGCTGACACATAACAGCTGTGTTTTTAAATGTTTCTTAAGAAAGACTGAAAACATTTCTTCAGGTGAATGCCAATAATAGAGCTCAATGTTTGGAAGTGTGTTCCAGTTCTATTCTGGGAAACACAGTATCTCGTGCACACCACTAAAGGATTAAGAATGATTCTTAAATCATCCCTTAGTGCCTCAGAATGTAATTTATTACAAACTATCCACACATACTGTACAGTGTATAGCAACAACACAAATAACATGTTAGAATTTGTTAATGAATTGTTGATTAAAACTCCTCACACATTATTAATCATGGGCAAGTAGCATTCTGCCCATTGTAAAATCTAATGTTTGGACAATGATTTAAAATATTGGTAACACTATACAATAAGGTTCTGTTTGTTGATATTAGTTAACTGTATTAGTTAACACTAAGTAACAATAAAAAATAGCATTTATTAATTTTAGTTAATGTCAATTTCAACATTTTCTAATACATTATTAAAATCAAAAGTTGTATGTGATGATCACATTGCGATCATATAATTTAATGGATTTGAGCTAACATGGACTAACAATGAACAGTTGTACTTTTATTAACTAAAGTTAACAAAGATTAATAAATACAGTAACAAATGACTTTCTCATTGTTAGTTAATGTTAGTCAATGCATTAACTAACGTTAACTAATGAATAATGACTGTGTTTCAAAGTCAGTAAATAAATAAACAGTTTTATGAAATAGCAAATGTAAAAAAAATCTTGATGTTTATAATTATTATAGTCATTAATACAGTTTTGTTGATAATTGTATAAAAGTTTTTATTAAAACATGAAACAAACATAAATATAAAGGCTACACAAACTTCAACAATATTTTTTTAAAGTACATTTACATCACATTACATCATCTCAGACGTTCATATTTGACACTGACACATGAACAGAAAAAAAAAAAATAAATCCTGAGATACAAAAGTAGCAGTTAACAATATACAAATAGCTGTTAATGCCCTCTTTTAGATGCAGGCAAAAAAGGTTTTTGGTACACCCAGGTACACCCACACATTGTAGGAAAATAACCATGTAAAGATCTGAAATCAGAGCTGTTGACTCAGTGGTGAATGATAATATTTGATATTCTGCAGGAATGGAAACCGGTGATATTGAATCATGTTGATGATGTCAGACTAGACGAGGTTTCTGGTATACAAACATTTGGTATCCAAACATTAATCTTGAGCAGTAGTATGATATGAAGCACAAAAAGAAAGAGTGGGAACCCATATCTAAAATAAGAGCTAGACAGTTATAATGAGAACAAGACAAGACAAGTTTTCCTATCATTCACTTCCTATGAAGTGAATCATCTCACCACAAGATAACACATCATTTAGTATGTAGGTGATGGTCATGAAATAATGTTTTAATTTATTCATTTTGAAGATGCATTTATTCGTAGCAAATAATAGTGCAATCAGGATGTACATTTTGGTCATTGTGACCATTAGAGCTGAAGGAACATACAAAATTTAAGTTATATGTTAAGTTCTCCTTGAAATTTTTTCTACCATGAAGTTTGTGTTTAAAATAGGTCACACTTTATTATAATGTCAAATTCTCACTATTAAATGTTAACTATGATTTTTGCCTCAATAATCTCCCTGTTTGCCATTTATTCATAGTTAGTAAGGTAGTTGTTAAGTTTAGATATGGGGTAGAGATTAAAGGATCTAAAATATGCTCATACAGAATAAGCCATTAATATGTGCTTTTTAAGTACTAATAAACAGCCAAAATGCTAGTAATATGCATGCTAGGTAATAATGAGAACTGTTTCTTACGAAAGTGTTAACAAAGTACTTATTGGTTGA